AAAAAAAAAAAAAAAAAAAAGGTATTTATTAATGCAATATATAAGATTATTACATTATTTTAGAATTTTTAAAATCTAACTCTGGCTTAATGCCAGAAATAGACCAATACTTGAATGTAATTTATTATTAGATCCACAGCATTATTATTATTATTATTATTAATAATATTATTATTGTTGCATTATTATTATTATTATTATTATTATTATTAATCAATTAATTGATTAATAATAATAGCAAATAGCAGATATAAAAGCAAAACTAATCAGTGTATAGTAGTTATCTGACACATATTTTAAAATAACTTGTTGTTCAAAACAAAACAATTTTTGTCAAACACATTTATTTAATGTCATGAATATTACACCTATAAATCGTGTTTTGGCAAAAAAATAAATAAATAAAATAAAATGAAAAAATAAATAAATAATACGTAATAAAATAAATACTCATTTTTAATGATAACATTTCCACTACTTTTGTACTTATATACATATATATGTGTGTGTGTTTGTGTGTATTGTATTTGTTTATGCAATATATAAGAATATAACATTTTCAAGCGTTTTGAAGTGTTATTTTCTGGCCAAAATTTAAGTAAAATGTACTTTTACAGTATTATCTTCATTTTATTTTAGTATACAATGTTATATTGTATTTTGTTAGCTGTACCCAATCTAATATGTAAATTAAATAATTGCACATTTAAATAAACAATTGAATGTATATATTATAATAAAGTCAAGTATAAAATAATTTTATATATATATATATAATTTTTTTTTTTTTTTTTTTTTTATCGGCTTAAAAATTAGTTACATTTTGATGAGTTAAAGTTATGTAAAACCTAAACTGCCATATTTTTTTTTTTTTTTTTTTTTTTTCCTTTTGATTTGAAAGTTAAATCAATTGGATATTTCTTTGTAAGCGACACAAAAGTTGAGTCCTAATTCTTCATTTTGCTCTTGAGCTCCTTCAAGTTCACTTGCATGGATTTTGCTAAAAAAGCTCCTCTTTGATTTAGAGAGGGTCTCGTGTGCCAGCTCATCTCGACCGACCCACTCCACTGATAAACGCTGTTTGTTGACGTGTCGTTGCTTTCAACAGTGAGTCACTGCTGGGTAAAACACAGACTCTGTCCTGCCAGCAGCCATTTTAATGTTTCACTCTCTCAACAGCAAGGAGAAAGGAGTCAAACAGAAAAACTGTGCCGCACTCAATGGTCGTGAAGTCTATATAATTCATGCTCTTTGTAGAGTGCTTCGCTCGGCAGAGTTCTACAGCACATCAACCTTTGTCTCCCCGTGTGTGTCCTTGCGCTTGAAGAAAAGGGGTTTCAATCACGGAGAGTGATTGCTCTGTGTAGTAAAGAGATTCTTGCTTTTTCTCTGCCTCTCATTGCTGAATTCCTATGCATATCTAGTCTTTTTTTTGCTTTCTGTTGCAGTTTAGTTCATCCAAAAATGAAAGTCCTGTCATCATCTCCTCTTGTTCTGATCAAGTTTTGTCTGGTCCAGAAGAACATCTTTCTCCATTGATGGCCATTCAAAAGCAGCCATGTATTATACACAGTGGGATTCGAGTGTTATTGTAGAGGAAAGATTTCCTGTGAGAAATGACTAAAATATTGTATTTTTTTCACATAAACCTATAGTATAACTTCTGAAGACTTGGAAAAATAGTGCATGAGTCATATGCACTGGCTGCATTTATGGTGCTTTTTAAATCATTTTTTTGGAGCTTGACATCTCATTTTATTGTATGTCTCAATCTCTCCACTGAGAGTACTGTAAATGATGACACGATTTTTCATTTTTAGGTGAACTTTTCCTTAAACATCGTCATCTGGAGTCCTTTGTTTTATTCATAAGGTTTTAATTAATCCTGCTGGCGCTTTTGTTTTAGAAAATGATTGTGAAGAACCAATCAAATGCATTATTGAAATGGCTGAGAACTGACTGTCAGATTGTGAGCTGTGAGTAATTTATCTAACAAGCTGTCATTCATCAAAAGAAAAGTGTTACGTAACTATGGAAACGGTGCATCGTCTTGGCTCTAAAAAACAAAACAGAACAAAGAATAAAAATAGAACAAAGCATAAAAAAAACCTAAGCAAAGCATGAAAAAAACATTATCAATTTCTATTTAATGCATAGTACTGTATATTATACCTATATATTGTCACATGCAGTTCTGGAGAAATACAATGACTCCTAGGTAATTAATTTCCACACATGAGTGAATTGTAACACATTGTTGCATTGGTTGACAGATGGTTGCATTTTTAATATATGCTTTAATTCACATAATTTTAATCTCACACACAACAGTGAGGGTCTGACTGTTATTTTTACAATTTAATAATGCATAATGTTTCAGTTCCTAAAAATGCTACCAGTCAACTGGTGAGTAACACCAATTTATTTCTTTGTCAAAACTAAGATTTTTTTCTCATCTGGCCCTTGTCCGAGTGTTCATTCTTGACCCTGTTAATTAGTCATTTAGCAAATCTTTTTCATCCAAAGCGATTTGCATGGTCAGTGTCCCAGGAGTAACCTCAGGTTAAGTATCATTCTCACCCCTTGTGGGATTTGAACCTGCAACCTTATGGTCACCAGCCAAAATCTTTAACTGCTAGGCTGCAGCAGCAAGAAGAAGAAAAAAATCTGCATTGCTTTGCACTTCAGTTTTTAGAAGCACTTAATCCCAAGGTTTCTCAATGCCACTGCTGATGCGAATCACTGCACCAGTGGGGTTTGTGAGACACTTTTCTTTGTTTCTCTTTTAGAACAATATCCAGTTGTGAAAAGTCCTCTACAAGTCAAATTTAATTAAAATTGAAATGGATGGCATGGTAAGAGGAAGCAATTGTTGATATTGATGTGATCCTTCGATGACGAACCGTGGCTTTGGAAGCGAATTGAAAGTGGCTCAGTTCACGCTGTGATTTCTCTCCAGCGCTGTTGGATCCTGATGAGAAATCCGCTGTAGTCCGTCAAGCAAAACCTTCTGATTTGACTTACGTGGACTTCATAAAGGCTTTGTTAATTGGCTTGGCACAGTGGCGTCAGGAGACTTGTCTTTATTATTGATATGCAGAAGAATTCAGCCACAGCGTGAAGTGTCACCACCACACCTCGTCATTTCATCAAGCTGTAATGTATTTTTTTGTATGTCCTCTGAGTTTGAGAGAACTGCATGACCATAATCGCAATATAATCCAATACTTGTATTTTGGGAACGGCCTAAAGCGGTTTCTCAAATAGAAATGAGCTGCATACTGATTTATTTTCTTCATCCAAAGTGCGAAACATATTCTACAATTTTGTGAACTTAAAATCTTCAAGCTCAATTCATAACACAAACGCATGTTGCATTCGCAGCATTTCCACAAGGAGTGCTATTGTTTAGCACAGTGTTTCCCAACCTTTTTTTAGTCGCGGCACCCTTTGGTTGCAGTAGCACGAGAGAGCTTGATTTCAAACTTTGAATTTAATAAAAAATGACAAGTAAGCAGTCAGTAATAAAATAAGAACAAATAAAGAAATTAATAATGATAGCACAAATAAAAAATAACGACAGGCCTACAAATGAAATAAATTGCTTTTTAGTTTTTTTCAGGTCTAACAATAGGGCTATTAAGAGATTTAGTTTTTTTTTTTTTTTTTTTTACCAATTATCCAAATAATGTTTAGTCCTAGAATATAGAGCGGATAATACGCAGAGCATCACAACACGTGAAAGTGAAACCTGAGCGGTGAACTAATTCGGCAGAATTAAAAATTCAGAAATCTAAAAATTAAATGAAAAACTAGAAATGCAACCTAGACAATCAAATAAAAATAATTATTTTAATGAAGTTGAACTACTTAAGTTGCTAAAACTAAAACTTAAAAAAAATGAATGAAAGCTAAATAGAAAAATAAAAAAACTAATAAAAATGACAAACATAAAATTAGTAACATTAAAGTAAAAATTTCAAAACGTTAATAAATACTACAATAATATGGAAGTCGTGGCCTAATGGTTAGAGAGTCGGACTCATAATCCAAGTCACTTTCATATATAAATATTTCTAAAATAGCGCTGAAAGAAAAATAAAATCAAATCACATGCTTCTAGCTACACAAGCTCAATTTCAGAAAAAAAGATGCAGTTCATAATCCAATACAGCTATGTGCATTCTTGCGATAAATCAAAGATGAATCCGTTTTAAAGAGGTGATATTTATTTATTTATTTGCTTGCTTGCTTGCAGAAATAGGAATCTCTAATACTAATGTTACTAAAATTACTAACATTAAAATAAACATTTAAAATATAAAAGTGAATTCAAAACATTAAATACTACAATAGTATAAAAATATTTCTAAAATAGCACTGAAAGAAACATAAACACACACGATTCTAGCTACAAAAGCTCAATTTCAGAAAAAAAAAGATGCAGTTCATAATCCAATACAGCTATGTGCATTCTTCACATTCTTGCCACAAGGGGCGCTAATGAGCATTTTCTGTTTTATGTAAACTGTTGTTAGCTACATACGTTTTGTAGAAAATCTTGTTTAAAAAGTGAGACATTAAACATTCGAAGTGAACATTTGAACGGAACTCTATTGCCCCCTTGAGTATTGGAGATTATTTCCACTACAATAATGGTTAAAACTGAAATGGGGCAAATCATTCATTATAACATAATTTTGTATGTTTCTGGTGGTAAAGCAACCTGTTCGGCTGTATCAGGAGGGCTTGTGCTCTCTTCAGTACTGAAACCATGTCTCTGCTCACAGGACAAGGTTACTGTGGTGATAATTTTCCCTTACTTCCGAAATTGGTGGCTATTTTGAACTCCAGCAGAATGGCTAGCGATTATGTTGCCGCTCGAGAACAAGGGCAATTTTTGTACATGCTCACAGTGAAACACAGAGTCTGATGCTGTCTTCGTATTTCTGTTTGCACGTTTTCTGCAGATGGTGGTTGTATCGGATGATGTTCACGAGTACGCCGTCGCCCTAAAAGACACGGACGAGAAGATCGCCCGATGCCCGAGCAGAGTAAGATCACTGTATTGAAGTGTTAAGTTGCATTTATATTCATAAAGTCTTAATTAAGAACACAATTAAGCTCTGTATTTAATTAGTATTCATATGATTTATTTTTTTTGTCAGAGGCCGGATATTTTAGAAGAGTTGCAGAAGACCCAAAAAGTGTTTGCTGAAAAGCTGAACCACCTGAGTCGTAGGCTGGCCTGGATCAATGCCACCATCTACTCCAAGGTACTGTTGAAGACGCTGGCCAAAAACATAGGGTGAACCAACTGTCTCACTGATTTCAAGCATTGTCATTTTTGTATCTGCAGCAAGGGATATAATTTTACGTTGAGCCCAATGTGTGGTGGTCTGAAGACTTTTAGGGCTTTGCATTTACGATGTGCCCCATAAACTTCAGACATTTAAATTCAGCCTTGAAATGGCTTTTCAAAAGGGCATTTAGGAACAGGAAGTAGTATGTAAACTTGCAGTAAATGGCAATGCATTCATCACAGAACTCTCTGCAACTTAAATGGGGGTTGTATGATAACCATTCGTTCAATCATTAAGCTGCAAAAATTGCATAAATATAAATCAATAAAATTATTACATTTTAAAAGGGTAATATGATATTTATTTTATTTACTAAGCTGCAAAAATTGCAGAAATATAAAACAATATTTATTTATTTATTTAGTAATAAGCTGCAGAATTTGTAGAAATATAAAGGTAAAGATACTATTTATTTCTAAATATTTTTATACATATTTGTTTATTGATTGGTAATTTGATAATTTATTATTAGTATTTTCTAAAGAGGTAATGTTTATTTATTTATTATTTATCAAGCTGCAAAATTTACAGAAATATAAAACAATATATTAAATGAATCAATTTTAAAAGGGTCATATTTATTTATTTATTTACTTTCGAAGCTGCATAAATTGCAGACATATAAAACAATAATTAAAACAATATCAATTAATCAGTGTTAGATGTATTTAGAAATATAAAATAATATTTATTTATACATATTTGTATTCATATTTATTTGTTTATTTATGGATTGATTAGGCTGAACACATTGCTTTTTGCAGAAATATAAAATAATAATGATTAGCCATTATTTATTATTCATTATTTATTTATTTGCTAAGCTGCAAAAAATTGCAGAAATGTAAAATAATAAAATTAATCCATTTTAAAAGAATTATGATATTTATTTATTTATTTTCTTTACTAAGATGCACGAATTGCAGAAATATAAAACAATAATTAAAACAATAGCAATTAATTAGTTTTATGTATTTTTTATTTTTTTACTAATTTAAAAAAATGCGGAGATAATAATAATAATGATAATAATAATAATAATAATCAGCTTTAAAGGGGTCATTTATTTATTTATCAGGGGAAAAAAAATCTGTATATAATATGAATGATAATAATTGACAATTTTTCAGAAATGGTTAATGACTATTTGGTATTCAGCAGCTTATAATAGACATGCTTTACAGGCAAAGAGGTTAGCCAGTCATAGCAGAAGTCATTTGTAAATAAAAGTCCCTAAATATACAGAAGCAAGATTCAGAGGGGTGGAATTTTAATAGTGTAAAACTAAAATCCGAAGTGCATTTCGAGGCGTTGCCTGCGATTTCTGGATTCTCAGCAAAAGTTCAGATGGAAGCATGTGTATGTCATTTTTATTGAAATGATGTCTTTGAATGCAGGAGAAGATGCTGGATGTGTACTGGCTCCTGCAGGTGTGTATCCGCGCCATCGAGCATGCGGACAGCACAGGCTCCCTGTTCGCATTCATGCCCGAATTCTACCTCAACGTGGCCATGAACAGCTACAGTGCCCTCAAAAACTACTTCAGCCCCTCCAACTGCATGGAGGAGCTTCCAGGTCTCTCAGTTATTACTGGTCACAAGAGCTGCTAGTGTATGTGAACTTTGATCTTGAGCAGTTGTTTGTGTCGTGTGATGTTTGTCTCTCAGGTTACAAGGACACACTCGCTCAGCTCGCAGCCATTCTCGCCAAACACTTCGCTGATCCGCGCATCGTTGGCACCGGTAAGAACACTATAGCCCTTCATTTGCTTAGACTAATTCATAAACATAAATCTATAAATTCATAAACCTATCTATCTGTCCATCCATCAGTCCCACAGACTATTTATTTTTACATGTATTTGTCAATCCATCCATTTTTCCACCTTTCTGTCTGGCCATCTGCCCATCCATCCATCCATCCATCCTTCTTTCCTTCCTTCCTTCCTTCCATCCATCCATTCCATCGACAGTCTATTTTTTCCATCCATCCATCCATCCATCCATCCATCCATCCATCCATCCATCCATCCATCCATCCATCCATCCATCCATCCATCCATCCATCCATCCATCCATCCATCCATCCATCCATCCATCCATCCATCCATCCATCCATCCATCCATCCATCCATCCATCCATCCATCCATCCATCCATCCATCCATCCATCCATCCATCCATCCATCCATCCATCCTCATCCGACAGTCCATCCATCCATCCATCCATCCTTCCTTCCTTCATCCGGCAGTCTATTTTTCCATCCATCCATCCATCCATCCATCCATCCATTAGGGGTGGGAGAAAAAAATCGATCCATCGATGTATCGCGATTCTTTCTCCATCGATTCTGGATCAGAATAAAGTTTGATGTTACACTTGAAGTGTGCGGTCTCGCCCGTTGGTATTTTCCTTACAAATGCTCTACGAAGTCATCATTTATGTGGTTTGGAATGCAGTGGACTTATATATTTAAAATATGAACCTCACTAACAGAAGGCTGCTTTCAATTTCAAATGCTGACGCGCACTTTGTTTGTGAAGACTGCTCGCACATGTGGCTGTGCGCGACTCCGTGGTTTAATGCACTTGCGTCTCAAAATGGTTTTATGACTCAAAATTAATGTAAACACAGCCGGTCATGTCTTAAGGGATTAAACTGACAGGACAAACCACATTACTTCTTATATTTCAAAAGAGATCCGTGCATGAATGCAGCTTAATAGATCTCCCGCTGTCTATGATGTTATAGTAAAAAACAACAGTAAAGATGAAAAAAATCACTCACAGTTCTTGAATGGAAAACATTCAGATAATCTTAAATACTGAAAGCACTCTTTGTTTGTTGTTTGTAATATGTTTCTATGCCCCTCTTTATTATTTGCTACTTGCTTGTATGTTTTGAAGTTGTATTAGTTTAAAAGTCTTAACATACAACTGTTTAAATTTTTTTTTTTTCAATTTGTAATTATTTTAAAAAGTACTTAAGTACTTATGTAAGGATATGTAAATGTAAGGATTTTAAGATTCTCAAGTCCGTAAACTAATTAATTAATAAGGGGGGGGAGTAGATCAAGAATTGTTCTGGAATCAGATCGTGACCCCCAGAATCGGAATCGGATCAGATCGTGAGGTGACTAAAGATTCCCACCCCTACCATCCATCCTTCCTTCCTTCCTTCATCCGACAGTCTATTTTTCCATCCAGCCATCCATCCATGCTTCCTTCCTTCATCTGACAGTCTATTTTCCCATCCATCCATCCATCCATCCATCCATCCATCCATCCATCCATCCTTCCTTCCTTCATTCCTTCCTTCCATCCATCCGACCGACAGTCTATTTTTCCATCCATCCATCCTTCCTTCCTTCCTTCCTTCCTTCCTACTGACAGTATATTTTTCCATCCATCCATCCATCCTTCCTTCCTTCATCCGACAGTCTATTTTTCCATCCATCCATCCATCCATCCATCCATCCATCCTTCATCCGACAGTCTATTTTTCCATCCATCCTTCCTTCCTTCCTTCCTTCCTACCGACAGTCTATTTTTCCATCCATCCATCCTTCCTTCCTTCCTTCCTTCCCACTGACAGTATATTTTTCCATCCATCCATCCATCCTTCCTTCCTTCATTCGACAGTCTGTTTTTCCATCCATCCATCCATCCATCCATCCTTCATCCGACAGTCTATTTTTCCATCCATCCTTCCTTCCTTCCTTCCTTCCTTCATCCGACAGTCTATTTTTCCATCCATCCATCCCACCGACAGTCTATTTTTCCATCCGTCCGTCCCCTACTATTCATCCCCTGCAATCCATCCATCCATCCTACCTGCCTCTGTTAATATTCTGTTCCCATTAACTGCAGGAAAAGACTCAGAAAAAAGCAAGCGGCCCAAAAATACGTAGAATAATCAAACCGTTGGCTGTTTTAATGGGAATTCTTTAACCTAATATAGCCGTTGGCTTGTACCGTTCATCACGTCGCTTCATTTCTCACGTAAAGGTATAATTAAAAGCTTCCTCTCTCAGCTCTCAGGCAACATGAAGTAATTTGCGTGATGAGTTGTAGCCGTAGTATTTTCTTAATCCTGTTTAAGGTTAGGGCTATGAAATACCCTCGACTCCTGAGTCATGAGTGATGTGCTATGCAAATAAACAGATGTTATTAGACACGACCCATTTGTTTAAATTTAATTTCATAAGCAGGCTTTTCATTATGTTCGCACTCCATTATGCTGATGTATTTAGATTTTTTTGCATATTTATCTTGTTTTCTGTGGGCTCTTTTACCGAATACGTCATTTTTAACAACAGTTGTTGCACGGTCTGTTTTTAATATGGATTAGTTTTATATTTCAACTAGCTTTTTATATCGGAATAGCTTTTCTTTTGTTGGCAATTCTAGTGGTTAAATTATCATTTTTTTGCTTCTTTGTTTTGATCAAGCACTTTTATTTTTAACAAAAGGAGGCTGAGGTGTTAGAAAATCATTGAAGCTTCTTGTTTCATAACAAATTGTAAGTGAACGCTAATAGATATAACAATCATGCATGCAAATGCAAGAAAGAAACCCTTTTTTAAAGATGATGTGAATGACCGTTTGCAGCCCACTTTATTTACGTAACATATTTCAGAGTAAACCAGGAAATGCAGAGTGGGGATTTCATTTATCAAGAATTAATTGAATCATAAAAGCATTGAACAATGTCTTCTTTCAACTTTATTTTCATCCACAGATATCAAAGATTCACTGATGCAGGCTTTAGCCAGTTACGTGTGTTACCCACAATCCCTGCATGCCGTCGAGAGGATCCCAGAAGAACAGTAAGTGCTTAAGCCTGCGTTTGCATCAAAATGCAGTGATTAATTAATGTTTTTTTTGCTACTGCGTTTCTTATTTTCATCTCACCTTAGACCAGAAACATACCCTATGCACATTTGCAAATGCTGATGTGAATGCTTTTCTAATACATTGTGAGGGTACAGTTGTTTTATGTTTTTGATGGTTTAGATCTATTTTGTTTTTGATGGATTTGTTGTGTTGTTGTTGTTTTTTTTCTGCTTATTTAGTTTTGTTTTATTTTTGATGACTTTTGTTTTGTCATGTTTTTGATGGTTTAGTTTTGCTTTTTGTATTTTACGTTTTAAAGTTGTTTTTGCTTTGTTGTTGATGATTTAGTTTAGTTTTTTTGTTTTTGATGGCTTTTTATGTTTTTGTTGGTTTAGTTATGTTTTTTAGGGTTTAATTTAGTTTTTTATTTTGTTTTTCATAGTTTTGTTTTTGCTTTGTTGTTGGTGGTTTACTTTTGCTTAGTTTTTTTGTCTTTCATGGTTTAGTTTTGCCTTTTTGTTTTGTTTTGTATTTGTTGGTTTAAATTTGTTTTGGTTTGGCTTAGTTTAGCTTTTTTGTTTAGTTTTTTTATGGTTTTGTTTAGTGTTTTTGTTTGTTTGTTTTGTTTTGTTTTGTTTTGAAATACTCATTATAGCAATTTGGTAACTTACATCATGCCCAATTATGAAAAACCTGTGCACCCTGGTTCCTGAAATTTCATAAAACCAGCCAATGTGCTGTACATGTGGAAGAATTGACAATAAAGCAGACTTGACTTGACTTGACAATTAGAATGAATTTCATTTTTATACATATCCTGCTGTTTTTATCTGCAATTTGCATCAGACAACCTAATTTTCATGTATAATGTCTTATTTCTTTGGTTCAATATTTTAGTCGAGCCAAAGAAAGATGTCTTAGTGCATTGTTTCAGGTTTTTTTTTTTTTTTTTTTTTTTTTTTTTTTTTTTTTTTTTTTTTTTTTTTTTTTTTTTTTTTTTTTTTTTGGATGGCTATGATGAGGAACTTACTGGCTCCATATGAACAGAGACCTTGGGCTCAAACTAACTGGATCCTGGTTCGTCTTTGGAGGGTACGCTGCATTTCTTTTACTGTCTTACACAATTCTCTCTCCACCCTTTCAACTCCTTTCTTTTTATCTTCTCCTTTGCCTTTCCTCTCCCCCATTATGCCATTAGATTCCAGCTCAGAATAGGTGCATTATATCAGGGCCATTATGCAGCATATCTCCGCTGTTTCCATTTAACATTTATGAAATGTTCCTGACAAACCAGCTACTCCCATTTAGTTGTTTAACATTTATTCCGCTCTCAGTGCCAAAAAGGGGTGACTTGTTTTCTCTTAGAGAAAATATTATTGGGTTTATTCATCCATAATAGTATGATTATGTGTCTGTTCTTGATCATTTTTTGATCGAGTTTCTTGGAGTGTTGTTCTGTTGTTGTTTTAATTTATGATAAAAAAAAAAAATCCAGTTTGTAAATTAAGTGTCTCCTCACACAGAGCTGACTAACTTTAATATTTCACACATCACTGGTCACAAAAGAGTGATTTGTTTCCTTACTTCTTTTAGGCCTTACACACAAAATACAGCTAAATATGTTTACCACTTTTCTTCTCTGTTCACACTTTTTATTGTTAACCCCTCATTTTTAACCTTGGGTTAATGTGGTCTTGGGTTAGTGACAATTGCCTTCTACTACTAATTTATTTCTGACCAAACTGAACAACTAGTTCATGTTGTCATGTTTAAAAATGCTTAAATTTGAATGTGGTTGTCACTCACATAGAGTCTGTATGTGGTCTTATATTGTATTCCTCCTGTCGACAGGGTTGTGGCTTTGGCTACAGGTACACACGTCTGCCTCATCTGCTGAAGACCAAACCGGAGGATGCAAACCTGCCCAGCCTGCAAAGTGAGTAACTGTCCTATCTTCCTCCATCTTTATTTCCAGCCTATCTTTAAACATTAAAGTTTTTTTTTTTCTGAAAACTTTTTCTTTACTTTTCTGTACTGTGTTTTCCATTGAATTTATATTTGTTTTATAATTTGGTAATGTTTTAAAATTATTTAAATGTTTTGTGAAGATTAAATAATTGTAATAGAATTAGAGATCTTGATAGACTAAAATGTAATGAAATTATTGATATTATAGTATATAGCATATATCAGTAATGAAAATCATTCAAAGGCATCACACTGAACATGATGAAAGCATTGAATAGACAAAAAATGGCCTTAGAAGTGTTTTCTGACACGATCTATCTGAGTCTGTCAGTTTAAACTCACTTTTATTGATGTCCCATAATGCTTTACTGATCAAAACCCAGAATACACTAGACGCAGATTTATATTTACAATAAGCAGTCAAAGCACAGACACTCGAGAGTCATTTATCATGATAACCACCTCATAAACAGTAATATTATTAATTAAAAAAGTTTTTCTGCTTGGCATTTTTCTTAGAAATTTCCTTGAATGCTGTCAGCATCTTAGAGTTTGTTTGTTTGTTTGTTAGATTGTTGCTGGATATACCAATTATATACATTTACCAACCACATTTTTTGTCACTAGTCAAGATGTATTTGTATAGCCTGTAGTAACAATAATTGTAGGAGGAATTTTGCAAGGAAAGGATACACTGGAACATCAGAAAATGTTGTTTGTCCACCTCAGAAGTAAATTTTATTTGAGGTTTGCCATTTTGCAACCTGTTACCAAATTCTATAGTGTGTGAGCAGTTTAAAACAATTTATTTATTTATTTACATTAAACATGCAAAATATATATATATTTTTAAATACTTAACGTTATTTAAGTATTTATTTTAGGGCTGTCAGTTTAACACGTTAATTAATTAGTTATGAAAAAATAACGCGATTCAAATATTTTAACGCAGTTAACGCACTGGCCCCGCCCCCAGACTTGTACGTCATCTTACATTTCATACAGTTGACTGTATGACAAATAAAATGTCCATAAATGCAGTTATGCCCTAAATTTCAAGATATTGGTGCAGAAATGCCCCGTGTGAGGTTTTGTCTCATATTTATATCATACGATATCACACGAGCAGCGAGAGCAATATTACGAGTGCTGATTTTGTCCGGAATATCACAAGTTTAAATGTGATTTTATAAAACAGTTCAATAAATAAGAAGTTAATATTGTGTTATATTTTAAACACAATATTACATATTTTTGCTCAATTTAGCAGAGAACATATTATCTTTAAAGTCACAGCAGAACTGTAGTGCATCTCCGAGCAACACAGCGGTGTTTAGTTTCTGAATGAATCCGCGTTTTGAACGAATCGTGTGAATCAATGATTCAAAGGCCCGTTCATAAAATTGACTTCATTCCTGAATGAATCAGCCATTTGAACGAATCAAATTAAGACATTTACTGCCACCTACTGGCAGATTTAGTTTCTTATTTGCAGTATAGTTTCATAAAAATAATAATAAAATAATAATAATAATAATATTAAAGGGATAGTTCACCCCAAAAACAACAAAAAAAATCAGTCATTTACTCACCCTTATGTCATTTCAAACCTTTCTTTTGTGGGACTTAACAAGGTATTTTGAAGACTGTTGGTAACAAAAGATGTTTTGGTTACCAATGACTTTCATTGTATGAACAAAAAATACTGAGATGTTTCTCAAATTATCTTCTTTTATGTTCCATATTTATGTTAGGCCGTTTTAGCCTAAATGATACATTTATATACTTATAATTCCATAAATGAAAGGAACATAATATATTTTCTAATAATAATGTTGGTAGCAGGATTGAAAGATTGAGCTTGATGAATGCCGTCAACGCTGTTATAATATTGACATTACACAATTATGTAATGATATTGACATTATTTACAGGTGCATCTCAATAAATTAGAATGTCGTGGAAAAGTTAATTTATTTCAGTAATTCAACTCATATTGTGAAACTCGTGTATTAAATAAATTCAATGCACACAGACTGAAGTAGTTTAAGTCTTTGGTTCTTTTAATTGTGATGATTTTGGCTCACATTTAACAAAAACCCACCAATTCACTATCTCGACAAATTAGAATACTTCATAAGACTTCATAAGACTTCAAAAAACATTTTTAGTGAATTGTTGGCCTTCTGGAAAGTATGTTCATTTACTGTACATGTACTCAATACTTGGTAGGGGCTCCTTTTGCTTTAATTACTGCCTCAATTCGGCGTGGCATGGAGGTGATCAGTTTGTGGCACTGCTGAGGTGGTATGGAAGCCCAGGT